GATCCCCATGGACTGAGAGAAACCCCCTGAAACATCTGGAAGACCGTCATCTGTTAAATAGAGACGTCTGAGCACCTTTCACCCATTTGATTTGATTTGAAGATGCAGAAAAACCTAATCCATGCCCATTGGTTACTTCATACTGATTTAACTGCAACTCTTATTAAATCCAGGTTGCCCCTTAATAAGTCCATTAATAGAACCTCCAATTAATTCAAACTCCATGCAAGCACGAGTACTGACAGGAACTAGGAATAAAAGAATCACAACAATCACAACTATCAATAAGCAAAATACTTACTGCATATATTGTCTCGCCTGTTATAGGACAGCCTACTTTTAGAACCCCTATAAGTTACTGAATGATGGGCGCGCTGCCTCGTACTCTTACGAACATCTCGGCGCGAGTGCGCTCATGTCTCTCTCTCATGTTATCTTCTGTCACGTGGCACGAAAATACAGACCTCCAGACTATCAGTATCTCTCCTCCAGTAAGCGAGCAGCCAGTTCCACTGATGCATGGTGGTTACCTTGTGTCCTACCTATCCCTGCTCACATCATACACTGTTTCTATAACCTTCAGAGTTACGCGACAAATCCATCGCCCTCCGTTGGAGTACAGACATACCTATACTCACAGTTAGATCGCGACTTGCATCCCCTGTCCTTTTCTTAGCGCGTCCTGCACCTATCCTAATCTACCCACATTAAAGATGAGCATGGCTATATAACCCTTTATTGTACTGTTGCTTATTCAGACATCTGCGTGTTATATTGAGCAATAAGTGGGCCTCGGCTTGGATTGCAGGCAAGGTGAGAAGTACATAAGATCACTCGTTAGTGTTACCAGTAGCTGTGTCTATTATTGGCTGTCCCCTGAGATCGGATCTACTCTGTGCTCCTAACCTGAGCCGATCAAGCAAAGGGTCCACTGCAGGGTGGCCAAACAATACTGGGCGCTGGAAAGCCCAAATATGTGATGCATTCCATACGCTCTTACTCTCCGTGCGTGCACCCATTTACACTGCAGGAACTCACATCATTGTTCTAGCACTTCATTACAATTCCCATTAATCATAATATGGATCTGTCCCACCTGAGGGGAACATGGCGAGCGCGTCACCCCATATTTTCTTTCCTCGGTCTCTTTGTATAAAGTCTCAAATAGGGATTTCTCTCTAACAAAGGATCCGGATGCCTCCTTTCTATTTGAGCGTCCACACTCTTGACTACAGCGATTATATGGGCTAAAATATGGATTATTGTCGTAATACACTATTTCAATAGTATTACTGTTAATAGATATATTAGTCAAATATATAAAAGTCCACTTCATATCCGCTCTATATTTGCTACAGTTCAGTAATAGATACTATCATGTTACTAGTTTCGCGCAACCTACCAACACCGGTTTGCGCCCTAGAACACCTGTATATCTAAGCTGGACATCTATGGTCGTTCATGCTCCCTCCTTTCTATTGGTCTTCTAACGAGGTGAGCGTACTAATAGACCCTGTTTATACTCGGCATTTATAGGTTATTGTCTACCGCGATTGCTCCATCATGCCACACTTCCGTCCCGGCTTCACATCCGGTTATACTCTCACCTCTCATCCTCATCTCCCCAATCGTTCCGTTCCTCTCGCATACTACTTCCCCCAACTTGGAGCCTACCCAGATAATGGTGCCACTGGAGATAGGAGCCTACATTTGTCCCCACACATATATACGCAATTAGGTGATCGTGTGCTGTATGGAAAAGATTCGTCGCTACTTTAATACAAGATATTGTCATTTACACTAACACCCACGGTTGGCACACCAATACTTCATCTTATGTTGGACTGGTGTTGTGATCCGCGGAGTGAATTTTGGTTGTTAAATGTGATGATTTGGGGATACATTATAACCTGGCCCTATTGGAAGTGTCCTGGGAGAATACTACTTCTGATTATAAATGCATATACAAATAATAATATGAATTTATATTCATTTCCTCATAAATTTTACTTCAACCGTATACTGTCATCCATCTTGTGAAGCTCTTTAAAATCTGTTTGAATTCTTTGAAGGACTGACTACATGAATTCAGCAGGGGGGCTGAGATTTTGAAAACTGCAATATGAAGTGACATTTTACTCTGTATGTGACTCAGCTATAAAAAGTCAAACATTGTACTTTGCCATTTATACCCATGTGTACTAACTGAGTTGTTGGAACCAAGCAAAGCTTTAAAAAAAAACTGTGTATTTGTGTTTGTCCCAGGGCCAGAACCAGAGGATCAGCCCGTGCTCCACCCTGACCAGCAGCACTGCCTCACCCCCTGCAGGCAGCCCCTGCTCCACCCTCCCCCCTTCGATGCCTGGCCAAGCCGGCAACAAGGACTGTGCCTACGGTTCTGTCACCAGTCCCACCTCAACCCTGGAGAGCAGGGACAGCGGGATTATTGGTGAGAAGACTGTATTTCACATTTATACATGTTTGTTAAGACTAAGTCCCTATTCAGTCTGTGGCATCTAAAAGATACGAATCAGTTCAAATATATTTTGTTTTATTATGAAAAAGCCTAATAATTTCTGGGCACATTAGCAAGCATTACTTAAACAGGAACAAATAGTGCATTGGGTGCACTATTGTGTGTTTATAGCAGCAGGACAGTTTATGTGGAATTGGCTCAAATAAACTACAGTGCCACCCAGTCACCCAGTGCAAAGATGTTGAACACTTTTTGGAGAACAATGGAGGTCTACGGCTACACAAACAATATTTATTTGCTGGACAAAATCCTTGTTGGTTTTATTATTGGTATTTATTTAGTCTTTATTTTCTATTTGTTGACAGTGATAAAAATATAGATTATCACCAGCCTTTCTTATAGAGAACATACAGAACAAAACAACGGTTAATTAGATTTTTATTGGGGTCCTATATATTGTAGCGAGCTTTGTTTGTGCATCATCATCCAAATTTACATAGTTGGATCCCTGCACTCATTCTAGGGTAGGTTAACATATTTTCAAGTCTATCTTTAAATGATACTGATGTGCAATATATGCGTTGAAATTGTTTTGGAGACTGTAGTCGTTCCTCCTGTCCATACCCGTCGCAAAGACATCCCTTCTTGAAGCAAATTGAATGTAAGTGATTGGGGACAAACTCTCCAATTCTCATTCTGTGCAAAAATACATTCTGAAGTTCAACTGAAGTTAATATGCAAATCAAGTGGGTATCTTCCAAAGTGGCAGTCTTTTTAGTATGATAATCCCTCTCTGTGTTTCCATGAAAGTGTTTCCTTGCTGAGCTGTAGCAGTAGGATAGTAGCACAAAGTGGGAATTTTGACCTAAAAAGACTTACTTCGGTAAATGCTAATTTGACTTGTCTTACAAATTGAGTAAATTTTTGCAGGAACAAGGGCTGTAGATTTTGTCACTTACACTGAAATTTCTTTGCTAGACTTTAAGAAATGTAGAAATCTTTTAAAAATTTGAATCAATAAAGGTAGATTTCAAGTGGTAAAGAAACCAAATAAAAGCATGTCTATAAAGTATGTGATTTAAAAAAAAAAGATATAGAAGGAGCTGAAGTAGTCAAACTTACCTGCTCAGACATGTAGCTCCGGAGTCTGGGATACCTGATGGTTAAAACTTGTGACAGTCAGTAGGAACACGCCTAAGGATGTAGCTTGTTCCCATAACCCAAAAGGGACTCTCTTGCCTCCACTGCATCTCAATGCTTTTTCCAAACCTGGGTGCGAACCAAAAAACATACCTGACTCCTCCTGATTGGTGTGGTCAGTTTCCAGTACAAGTGCTGTATTTTTCATGCACATTCAGAACCTGCCTGTACTCCCACTGGAAGACAATTCAGGTGCCCACGTCATATTGACATCAACTATGACACCCTTGCATTGTTAGCAGGAAAACAGGAGAGGTATAATGCTCACTGATGTGAGGTGTTTTCTGTCAAAACCGGTGCCAACATTGTTTCCTGGCAACAATGGTGAACACCTGCAGATTGATTCAGAACAACAGTAAATAGGTGTGAAAGCAGACAGGCTGTAACTGGTGGAGGGAGGATGGTCAAACACAAACAACCCCAGTGAGAAAACGGCCTGAAAGTATGACACATATTCCTCACAGTGAACATACTTAACAGCACTGAATACCATGTTGTTTTATTTTGTTGCAGCCACACTGACCAGCTATTCTGAGAACATGGAGCGAGGCGGCAAATACGGCGAGGGCTCCCGAGGAAACCTGAAACTGTGGCAGTCCCAGAAATCAGGCATGGATTCGTTCCTGTACAGGGTGGATGAAAACATGACCGCCTCCACCTACAGCCTCAACAAAATCCCTGAGCGCAACCTGGAGAGCATGTCCTCCCACTCTGCCCACTCCATCCCTCTGTACCTCATGCCCCGCCCTAATTCTGTGGCTGGTGAGTCCCTTCCTCTTTCCCTCCCTCTCCTGTTAAAGTAGAGAAAAGGAGGTTTGTCTCAGGAGCCAGAAATAAGGATGTTTACAGGTGCATGGGCATGCAGTGTGCAAATTTTGCCAATTGGCTTTTCTGGCAAATTTGGATTGAACTGCTGGTTCTGAGTCATGTTACACCCTATTTCTGACTCCTTTAGTGCTTCCTTTTCACTCCTTTCAAGCTTCCTTTCCTTGCTTGTTTTCTTCCTAGATGAACTGTGACCCTTCCCTTTGAATTCTTTGACGTCCATTTCTGTGATCACAAATGCAACAATGAAACAGTATTGACAAGATAAGAGGAATATATTACTTCATATTTTGGAGGAACAAGTCCAACCTTGTCTTCTTAAATAGTATCGTGCCAAAAGTATCAAGTATCTTTAGATTTTGTTTTTTATTGCCAAATTTAAGTTAGACTTTCCTACAACTCAGCTGTCAAATTATATATACTACTTCATTACTTTAAAAATCCTTCTCCTTTCCTTATTGCTCACTTGCTATTAGCAGCAATGTAACCATTAAGATTTTACCCATAAATGTCACAAATATTTGTAAAATATTGGGATTGGCCAGCAGTTTAAGAGGGGAAGATTTGATTTGTGAACTGCTCCAGATATTCTGTAAAGAAAAATGTATACAAACACCAAAGCTCCAGACCACATTTCTCCCACAAATCTGGGATAAATCACACCGAACTTCCTCAAATCTGAGCCTGGTGTTTGGAGGAGCTCAATTGTGGTTCAGTTTGTTGTAATTTCTACAACATTTTTTGATAATCTAGGGAAGAAACAACTCTTGTTTTCAAATTTCATGGGGTTATGTTGAAATTTGGAGCTGCATATCCTTAGTGGTATTTTGTGAAACTCTCACAGCCCTCTGGTGTGGACTGAAACCACAGAGCAGAATAATACAGTCTGGGAAAAACAGCTTCAGCGGGAGAACATACTGCGGCTGGAAGAATATCACACAGGAAAACTGGCATTTGTCTTGCTGACAGAGGTCTCATTGATGTGTTTCTTATTGTAGGCCACAGCTGCCTCAAAAAGGCTCCCAAAAGTAACAGTAAATATATCTGGAAAAATGGCAGTTTCATAACACTGAGACAGTCCTAACGGAGCTAATTTTGTTATTGTTCTCATCATCAGAGTGGCTGTTACAGACGATGAGTTGCTCTCACCCCCACTGGAAAAAGTGTGTGTGCACGTACTATAGACACACATATGTAGTTCAGTAAACACTGTAATATGCCTGACAAGGCCTGTCGCTGCAGCTATGACCCTTTCTTTATGCTGGTCCTGTTCTGCTGTTTGACACTGCTGTCTGGCAGCGCAGCGACTCTGCCAGGTTTAGAGATTCGCCCTCGATCACGTCCCCGCCCCTCAATACCCAGACCTTCAAAGGAGACTGAGTGAGCTGGAGACGGCTTTAAAGACACACTATAAGCTGCAGATGATGCAACAAATACAATAAAAAGAAGAGTGAGTGAGGGAGGCAGTGAGCGAACGATGTTTCTAAAGGCATTTGTATTTGTCAGGAACAGGAATTCTGTATCGAGGAGAGGGAGATGGATGCATGTGGAAGAGGAGTGAAAGAGAGTTTCATAATCTCTCTCTCCCTCTCCTCCACAAAGAATTATTAGATGATGTAGGGATGGGAGGCAAGCACAGGCTGAGGATTGGCTGGGCTCACACAGCAGTGGAACATCAAAGCCCCAGGCATTAACCGTTTCTATCCCCCAGAGTGACAGAGAGACTCGCTTTGATGTGTGGAGAGCGAGGGAGAGAGATACGGAGCGAGAGCAGAAGGCAACTGGGGAGGAAAAACGAGGAGGGAGGGGGCTACTTTATTACCTAATGAAGGCAGTGCGTTGGTAGAGCTTAAGATGGATATGGAGGAAGGAGTAACCAAGACGGAGTATTACATTTTCTCTCTCCCTCCATGGTGCTAATACTGCTCAGGAGTGTAGTTGATCAGCATTTAAAAAGGAGTCTTTTTTTCATATATATTACTTTGACATTTTTCTAAGTAAGTAAAGACAAGAAGCTCCAAAATGAAAGAGATACTAGAGTGAGTCAGTAATGTGCTTCCCTAAGGTTGGATGACCCACAAGAGACAGAAATAATATTTGACATTAATGCAGCAGAGAGATTCTAACCTAATGTAATATGTGGAAAATGCCTGAGCCTTCATTTCCTATAATGCAACTAAATAGCATCTTTTCTTAGACCCTCGCTGCCTGGTTATAAAGCAACTTAACACCCTGGTTAAGCTTGAACACACGACCTTCACAAACAAAAGAAAGCATTCAAACTCTGACACACACCCTCGACCACCTACTGCTACTCTTAGTTCCTTGTTACTAGCCTTTCATATTCCATGCTGTCCACACTGCTGACAGTTGACTGCTGTATTTATATGTCAGAGGGTGGGGGGTGAAGGTGACGTTACCTGGCAGGGTGCCCCAGGGGACTTCATGGATTTTTCTCAGATATTCTGAGGGTCAAGTCTAAAGAATAACTGGAAAATAACTTCTGTTGTCAAAAAAGGTTAGAAAAGGTGAAATGAAAAGAAGTTTGGGAAGTCACATTGCAACAGGAAAATATTAAACTTTAACATTAAAACTTGATCTATATAGGGTTGCAGATGGTTAAAAAAACATGTTGACAGTTATTATTTTAATTGTCCAACTGAGATTTCTGCCATTTGTAGAGTATTTCTGATTCTGATTCTGATTCTGAAAGTAGTTAGTGGTGCTCACATAGATGGAAGAAGAAAATTACCAACCTGTCTTTCTTGAAATGGTGCACTTATTAGTCACCAGATCTCACTGTGAATAGCTGTCAGCTTTGTAGAGAGCGGTTCCAGTTCACCTCCACTGTACATGGGCGGAGGCACAAATCTCAGACACTGATTCTTCAAATCCTTTGCCAACAAAACAAAACTTTGGTGAAAGTGTCTTTTTATGTTGAGTGAACTGACCCTTTGAAATTGCCATATTGAAGGATCTATATGCACCAGCTTAGATAACTGCCTAGGGATTAGGGAATCACTACTCATAAAAAGACTAAAGGGCTATAAAAGACACTCTGAGATTCAGTGAACTCACTATATAGTCTCTAAATTCACTAAATTAAGATAACAGCTCACCCGAGATAACATTTGTCAATTTTGGGGGCGGACAAGTGTCATTGATTTCCATTTTATCCTGATTTCCTTTTTGTCCCTGATCCCACCTCTGCTTATATACCCGAAATATTATTGTTTAAATACCAGGACCTCCATTATTTATCATCTCAAGTCATCTCTCTGGGAGAAGAGAGAAGAATGGTGAGGCGTTTAAAGCACCGACAGCCACCTCATATCTGAGATGACTCGTCGGCTCCCCGGCTGATACTGTGACTGTGGCTCTGGACTGCAGCCCAGCTGGTCTTTGAGTGTGTGTACGTGTGTGTGCGCACACGCATGTGTTCACGCTATCAGTCACTCCTTCAAACAGGAAGTGTCTGATGTGGCTGTCATTGCCCAAAGCAGCGAAGCTGTCCGCTGCACAGTTAGACTTTTCTCACTTTCTTTTTCTTACTTTCCCTCTTCCGTACTTGTTTTTCTTTCCTCTTTATTTCTTTTCACTATGCGTGCAGTCTTAGCGCATTGGCTCAGGAACTGTGAATGTGATCCCCAGCAGCCTGCTGCATTGCAGATAGAGATGATGAGCACACAGATTTGAGTCCTCACATTCAAACACAGTTGAAAGAGAGAAAAAAGGAGCCTTTCCAGCCCTGAGTCATTCTTCCTTGGTTTAGCAGCAGATTAATGCCTCCACTGTCTCCACTTTTAGCCCAGTTGGATGACCAGCACCCCCATTCCCATCAGGGCCAAGCCTCCAGCATTCTCAGCTGCCATTTTCCCTCCATTTTGGGAAACCCATGTGGCTCATTTTTGGGTCCATGACTGGGGTGACTCAGACTGTCAGCAACACACACACACACAGCCGCACACATGCTCAGTACTTCACTGGGCTTAACTCCAGCGGCACAGAAACCAACGACAGGACAGGATCAGTGTTGAGGTGCCGGTGAGTTTTTCCCCGGCGAGAGGTGGTGGGCTCAGCGGCCCGCCTCTTGAAGGGATTACTGTGCCTTTTTTGAGTGACTGGAGAGAGAGAGAGACAGAGGATATTATTAAGAAGAAACATGCATTACCAGTCACACCTTTCCCCAACTCCTTGAATTTGATTTGGGATCTGAGGACCTTGGAGTATTTCAGGTATAGTTTCAGAGAAATAGGATTTCCAGCTTCCAGCTTATAACAAGTTGGACATTATTTTTGTAGCTTTGTCCATCAATTCTGTCGGCCATGATAACATTATACTCGCCAAGTTAATTGCTGATATCTGGGAACACGCTGACGCAATCAGATGGGGCAAGAAACACAAGCATGGGTTTTAAACAGTATCCAGCTTTGCCAAATTCATTTTGGAGAGAAAACGATAGCAAATCATTACTTAAGTTGTCCATTGTAAACACCCATCATAGTTTATAGACCAACTTTATGAGGCATTATTACCAACATTTCGGTTTTCACCTCCAAATCCAGTAGTTCAAGAAATCTAGATAAAATGTTGAATTAATTACAACCTGTCCAATTGTTTGATTGCGCCATTGGACTTTATTGTTTCCAGGTCTCAGAAATTACCCCAGTTAATACACTTTTCATAAGTAATTTAAATGCTACAAAGTCCCAGACTGTCTCCGATATTCTGTCCTCTATCACCACCTCTTTACCTTTTCTTTAATACTGCATTAGTAGAATTTATTCTACCCAAATTTCCCATCAGAGCACTTGTTGTCTTATTTAAAATGGACAAACTAAATGACCCTACCCACAACTTCTGGATGGTTAAGTCCCTTAATCTCTCCTGGATGTCATTGTTCAGAGTTTCTTGTCTTTCACTTCCTCACCTCTAACTGAACCGTTGGGTTCAGGTGTGACAGAGAATCGAGTGCATTGCTTACTCACACTGGCGGCGTCTGATCTAATTTAACATTCACTGGTTCCGAGCGTTGGCCCTGAAGACACAGCGTGGTGTGAACAATCAGCAGCCAGCGTCAGACGGCGCTCACTCCATGAATAAGACATTTGTCTGCTGAGCTAATTAATCCTGAGAGGGGCCGGATGGCATCTGCCTCCGTGCCGCGTGACAGACACTGAGAGGAGGGAATTTTAGGACAGAACCATGTAGGGCTGGCTTGTTCTTTCCTGTAGGAGTTAGCAAGAATGAGAGCGGGAGCCTGACAACTGCCTCCGGACACTGGCATGAACCAATGGCACTTTTTTATTTTTGTGTGTGTGTGTGTGTATATTATGGGTTTGTTTACGGTATGTGTCAATGTACATATGCATGCTGACAGTATAATTTTTTTCTTACTCTGAAATATCCTTCTCTCTCCTTTTCTGTCTGCTTCTCACACACACAAACACACAACAACAGCTACCAGTTCAGCCCACCTGGAGGACCTGGCATACCTGGATGAGCAGAGACACACTCCATTACGCACATCGCTGCGCATGCCCAGACAGAGCACCACCTGCGGGCCGGGTCGCTCCGGGCCGGACCTGAGAGGTGAGCAACCAGGCGGAGTTAAAGAGAGCACACACACACATACACACACACACGCAAGCAACAATTTGGAAAATACAGATACAAATTCAAGATAAAAGGAAGTATTATAGTAGAATAGTAAAAACACAGTCAAAAATATTAGGAGATCGGGAGGCTTGTCTTCTGTTAAGACAGGTACTGTATAATTGCAGTGTGGTTGGTTCAATTCTGGCCTCCCTCTGTTTCTAAAATCTAAATGAAAAAAGATATCAAGAGATGATTAAGACATTTTGAGTTTGTTTTTCTGTTCAAATAGGCAAAGATGTCTCATTATTATTATTATTAGAACTGACAGGAAATAAGAGAAGAGGAAGAAATAGAGAATTGCATGCAACAAGTCCATGGCTGAACTCAAACCAGGGATACTGCAATTGCACTTTCATCATTTTAAACCCGTAAAAGTCCAATTTATCCAAACTGCAGCAAAAAAACTATTAACAAAAAGCTGTTTGCCACAAGAGATACTGCACTGAAAAGGCTGGCTGTGACAGTGCGATCCTATATGCAGACATTTGCAGGTGAAAAGCTGTGCAAACCACAAAGCAATCAACCATCATTTACTTTCACTTTGACTTTAAAAAGGCTCTTTTGTTTCAGGTTGGGCTGCGATTAGCCAGTAGCTTCACATCAGACACTATGCAGAAGCAAACAATAGGACACTGTTTTGTTTTCATCCACAAACAACACAACTCAAAGCAGCTGAGCGTCTCAAGGAAAACCTGCATGACGAGCAAGTTATTTTTGAGATTCAAAAGAAAGTCAATGACGGTTGATTTGCAGTCTGCAGTTCGTATAAAATGCAGATGTCTGTAGATAAGCTCCCATCAGCGACGCTGCTGAGCTGTCGGTGGTGGACACTGGAGGTTGTCGCTGTTGTCTGTTGTGTGTTTTGTTTTTGTGTGTGTGTGAAACAGAGGAGTGAGAGAGAGGGTACAAAGAGTGTTTTGTCGGGTTGTGTCACCACTAAGCTAAAATTTGTCTTAGTGCTTAACATACACAGTCAGCGTGCGCTCCACTGCACACTGTTCAAGTCTAGGACCCGGCAAGCGCCTTCCGTGATCGAGCAAATCTCCTCAGCCTCCTCACCAAATGGCAAAATGGCCAAATGGCCAAATGGCCTTATGTCACAACGTTATGTGTCGCCTCGCCTTTCTTTCTCTGTCACTTAGCAGGTAATGAGCACCGTAATGGCAGTCCTCTGCAATCCAAGCGAACACAAATATGCGTCCCTGTGTGTTTTAAACACCTGTTAAGACCCCACTTAGCTGAGAGTTCGCTCGGCTGAGCTGCGACGTGATTCCCCTGCCTGAGGGCAGCTAGCTGCAGACAAATAGAGAGTGAGAGAGTGTTAAAAAGAAAGTGAAAGATAGGGAGAAAGACTTAGATGGACACAGATACAGAGAAGAGGCTAGGGGAGAGTTGGTTCATCTCAAAGCTTCACTGTTACTGCCAGAGCCACTTGTTTTAACCTTCCTCCTCTAAGGGCAGCCAAGTGTGTTTACATGCCAACTGACTGCGTCCTAGCATGCGTTCTGCCTCCTTGGATCACTGTCAGAGCCTCCCTGAGTGCACTGCTCCTGCAGTTTCACCAGGAGAGACAGAGAATGAGAGAGGGAGACAGGACTTGGAGGCAAGCGACATGTAGAACAGGGTTTAAGAAGATATGAGGGCAAATTTCAAATGCTTTTATTCCTGATATATTATTATTTCTGAACTAATAGACTTACAAATATGAAATCACTGAATAAATGATTTGTTGGTTACTTGATTGGTTTTTGCATCTCAAGTTGGGAAATTCAATACTTAAAGGTTTATTGCCTGTCTGACATTTTGGTTCAGAGCAAGATAACTAGTGTCCAGATTGTGATGTAATTCGGCATGAATATTCAGGGTTGCAGAGAGATAATTCATGATTTTGTGACCTCCCCTGTCCTTTTGCAGAGTACGTTGGAGCACATTCGTGCTCTCTTAAGCCTGAACCCTCTTCATTTCTGACACGTGATTAGCATTGCTCATCTTCAGCCCATTGTACACAAGATATGTAATGACTGGATTGCCATAGTTCCCAGAGGATGAACCATGGTGCCTGAGATGATCCCGAAGCCTCCCACACAAAATGTACAATAAATAGCAATGAAGTGATGATGGCGGCGTGTGATTTTGGACATTACATTGGCTGCATTTATTACATTATTAGTGACCTCATGCCTCTGAAACCACAAATAGTTGGACACATTGTGTGTCTCACTAAGAGTCTGCTTGGTTGTTTTGCATGAGACTGCTGCATGCAGACTTACAGATGAACTAGAGGAGGAGAAGACTGCTGGTTATGTGTTGGTCAGGTGGTACTCTCTCTCTCTCGGTTGGTTTTGTCGAAGCTTCTTTTGATGGTGGCCATCGGAGGCCGAGCTGTGCTGCTGTTTTGAGGAGAGTGAGTCAGACTGTAATGGACCTTCTTGTGCTCCTACCTGCCTACCTCTAAGATTTACCACCCACCGCATTTATTCAGCACAAACTCACTCGCATAACTGTGCACTGCACACACATTTTCTCCCTAGTTTATCTTTACTTTTCCTCTCTTTGTCTTCGCCCCCCCCCCCAACCATCCGCTTTC